TTTTAAAGACACTTTGCTTCTCATCCAAGAAGCTTCTTCAACTCTGACAGGATAAACATTCTCTGAAAAAGCTTCTTGAATTAGAAGCAAAACATCTTCAAAAGAAAAACAAAGCCTCCTGAAAAAGCACCTTTGAGACAGCCATGACCTGGATGATGGAGAATCTGTACAGACTTTTAAGCATGGAAAATGTTAATATCAGTCACTGATTCAGCCATCAAAACACTGTAGTTCATAGTTCATTTGTATGTAACAAATGGATGCTTTAGATTTATATTTAAAAATTAAATAGGATGAAAGATAATACAAGACAACCACAAAGCTTTGAAAACAGATATTCCATTGGAAAAAAAAAAATACCTTAGAGGTGCAATGCTTTGCTTGCACTGACTTTTTTTTTTAATGCAATTTACAAAGTCTGGGATGCTTTTGAAAACATGAAATGTGAAGGTGGATGCTTAGTGGTAATTTGCAGCAACATCATGGCAAAGGGAAGCAGCAACCCAAACCTCCAACAGGCAGGTCCAGAGTCCTCTTCATTGTACTCATTGCCAACCAGGTGCCCTCCTCTTTGTCCAAGGGACAGATAGATCCCCCCAGTCCCACCGAAGGCCACAGGAAACTGCATTCCCAGTTCCCCATGACCTGTCAGAATCATAGGGTGGGGAGGGACCTTGGGAGTCTTCTAGCCCAACACCCTGTCCAAGGCAGGAGACACTCTGGATGAATGGTGGAAACCCTGTTCTGTCAGGAAATGTCTTGGTTCCAGGCTGGATCTCTCTTTCATGAGCTTCCGCCCATGGCTGCTTCCTGTCCTGCCCACAGGTGCCTTGGAGAACAAGTTGAGCCCATCTTCTTTGTGGCTGCTCCTCCTGTCCCCCCACGCTTCCTCTTTGATGGGGTAGACATACCTCCCTCACCAGCCATCAGGTGATTTATCTTCCTTGCTTTTCTCTGCACTCTTTTCTCGGGTCTCAGCAACTTTTGTTTGCCTCCTGGTATCCAGAACGGTTTTTAGTATTCCAAGCATGGTTTCACCAGTGGCACTATCACATTTTTCTTTATACTGTGGTGACCAGAACTGGATGCAGTGCAGTACTCCAAGTGTGATCTTAGCAAAGCAATATAAAGCGGCATTAACATTTCATACTGATCTCGATTCTATCCCTTAATGCAGGCGAGCATCGTTTGTAGCCTTTACCCTGCTGGCTCATGGTTGACGGTTCCTCCACTAGGACTCCCAAGATCCCTCTCACGTTTATTGCTGGAGTTGGGCCGCTTTCGCCCAATCTGCACCTGGACCTTTGGGTTTTGCCTGCATTCGGGATGCTACTTTTCTCCCGTCTAAACCGCGCCTTGCTCGGCAGGGTCCAAGGCTGAAGACTGCCAAGATCCTTCTGAATCCCACCCGGCTCGCGGCGTCATCTGCAAATCTGACGGGCTCCCCTTCTGTCCTCTCGCCTGGATCGATCCGCCCTGCCCGCTTCCCTCCACTTAGACCAGGGCTCCCCAACCTTGGCCGCCTTAAGGCTGGTGGACTTCAACGCCCAGCATTCCGGAGCTAACATGACTGGAGGAAGAATCCTGGGAGATGAAGGCCACCAGCCTTAAGGCGGCCAAGGTGAGGGCCCCTGACTTGGACTGAGCCCCGGCGCCATCCCAGCCTCGTGTCCGGAGCTCTCTGCGAGACGTCGGCACGGCAGCAAACCGGCCCAGACCCCGCCAGCCGCCCAGAGGCGCCGGGTCGCCCTTCTGAAACCTCGGCGGGACCTCCGGCCACCAGGGGCGACCTTGCGGCTGCCAGAAACGGAGCAGGCCCGGCTGCAAGCCTCCAGCTCGCCCGGGAAACCGAGAGCTCCGAAGCCTCCGCCCCTGACAGTCCAGAAGCGCAGCCGCGGGGCCTTCGCGCTTGAAGAGCGTCACTTCCGGCGCCGGCAGCCGTCCCTATCTAGCTATCGCCGACCTTCCTCTCTATGATCCCGTGCTGCCCGCCGAAGACTAGAGATAAGAAAAATGGAGAGAAGCGCCGCCGTGGTCGCGGGAGCTTCCGGGTCTGTGCGGCTCCACGTCTGGCCGCGCGCGAGTTCGGCGTTGCGGCGGCTCCGAGTCCTCGTCAAGCCATGGTTTGTTTAGAGCAGGTTTCCGAGATGGAGCAATGCAGGAAGAGAGAGGAGCGCCAGCTGCGGACTCCAGTCTTTCTGGCTGCTGCCGAGTCCCTCCGCCCAAGCCCGGGAACCCAACCACGCTCGTCGGCCGCGGTTCCTGGCTCCCACCCCGCTGCGAGGCCTCTGCGTGAGGGCGCGGCTCTCGGGCAACGGCCAGGCAGCCTCCGAAGGTAGCGAGGGGGGGTCGCAGGCGGGGCCTTTCTCCTACCAGGCAGCCTCTCTCGGTGGCGCCCTGAGGCGAGCCACGGCGCTCCACGGCGCCCTGATTTCCTGCCGGCGTCCCCCGGTCAACGGGCCAGCCGGGCGGAGGCCAGCCGCCACTCCCGCCGGTGCTCCCAAGGAGCCTCCCCGAGCGCCCCGGGGTTTCTGCCGCCCGGCAGGGAGCCGGGACTCCTGGCATCGCAAGCAGGGAGAGCCGGTGAAGGGAGCCCGCTTAGCCATCCCGGTTTCGAGAGGGCGGCCCTGGACGAGCTAAGGGGGAAAGGCGGGAGGATGGAAATCCTGAGGAGAGACACTTTTCAGGGAGACTCCGAGAAATAACAGCGGGCCAGACACGAGCGAGTCTCCCCCTTCTAGCCCCCGAGCCACTCGGGGTGACATGGCCCCGTTTCAGGCCCTTGGAGCCAGGGGTTTGTTCACGATGGCTGCCGCCTCGGACTCGCCTCCTTCCCAGCCTGGATTCTGACAGTCCGTTGGGGAAGCCAGATTTGCTTATTGGCCGTTTTATTCACTTAACGGCAGTGTTTTGCTTAACAATGATGGCAAATAGAATCAAATGCAAAACGCAGCTCCCTTGACCGTCATGCTCAGCAGTGGGAATTCTCGTTTTCCCTCCGGTTACAGATCGGAGAGATGAGGTGGACGAAGGTTGTCACCTACCTCACAACCAGAGACCCCAGGATCATACCTCACATTGCATGTGGTGGTGGTGGTGAAGGATAAAAAAAACCACAATTCAAAAAGTGTGTCTAAGTATATATTACTATTTTCCACTTCCATAAATCCCAGTGCCTTTCAGTGGTTCTGCTGTTTTTCAATAATATGTGAGAAATAGAAGAAAATCATGTTCTTCTGAACAAGATGTCAAGACCTGTTTTTGACAGCACAGATGAATTGTAACCTTCATTTGCAATAGGACTTGGCTTGGTGGTCATGTTATTGGCTGGGTGTGGCCAACTCAACATCACTCACATCAAGGCACGCATCTCCACGCCTGGCCTTTCATGACTGTGGGGATGCTGCAACTGTCGTAAGTGTGAAAAACAGTCATAAGTCACTTTTTTCAGTGCCATTGTAACTT